AAAACCACTTTTTGTTGCGGAAAAGTTATGATATTAAATGATAATAGTATTGGAATTGAAGATCTGTTTCTTCTTTAAAGAAGTGTTTGTATATCCCTCATTAAAAGTTGACTTAGGGTGGATTTGGCTATTCTTTCTATGTCACTTTTGGTCATACAGCTCTTTACGTAATCTACTTAAACATCCGGGGCTTTTCAAATTGACACGTATAAAGTGTTATTTTCCTTTTATACATCTGTCACAGTCATATTAGACCAATCAAGAATTGATATTTTATAATAAATCTGACCCGTTGAGAAAGAAGCATAACATGCAAATTGTTGACTGTCCGGTAAAACGATTGAAGTTAGACTGTTTTATAACAAGTACAAATTCTTAGAATTACACAAAATAATCACCTGATCACCTTTTACCTATACCACCCCAAATTTTGTCTAGTTTGAGGCCCCCCCTTTTCAGAATCCTGGATCAGCATCTGCCATAGACGTGGTTGCGTATTTATAAATTCCAAACTAAGGAAGGTAGAGTTCCACTGTATGTCGAAGAAATTCAACAAATTTGATCAGTCAAACCTCGTGGGGTTAAACACAAGAGTATAACACAATTTTGAACAAATAAACTAATCATAGATACCAGGATTAAAATTTTGTTTGCCAGACTCGCGTTTCTTCTACTAAAGACTCATCAGTGACGCTCGAATCAAAAAAGTTAAAAGGTCAAATAAAATACGAGGTTAAAGAGCATTGAGGACCCAAAGTCCGATATGGTTTTGCCAAATACAGCTAGGATAATCAATTCCTAGGGTAGAAAGTCCGTAGAATTTCGAAGAATTTTAAGTTTTGTAAACAGTTAATAAGAGAAACACAATAAAACAAAACAATAATATAAATGACAGCATGCATTTATAGACAAGAGTCAATGCCATACAGTCGCTCGTGTATGTAACAACGTATTTGATTTCAACGAAAGAAATCTCTGTATTACTGAAAAATTATTACACCAGGGTTTTCGATATCACAAACTAGTCAAAACATTTACTAAATTTCATCATCGGTACAAGGACATCTTTCGTAAATATAAATCAACATGCAGACATCTTATACGTTCAGGTATTTCACATCCAATATTTTATGGTAATATTCTTTACAAAGCACAAAAATGTCGGCATTCACCTCAAAAGCTAACTAAACCTTGAAACAGACTTATTCGGAAGGGATATAGTTACGATACTGTTGTCAGATCATTAAGGATTGCATATTTTGGTATTAATATTGATTCACTCATAGGGTCTTTGCATCGGAAATAAACACATTTATTCTAAAACCAGTTGTTGGCATGATACGGGTTATGTTCTTCTCATATATTTTATGATGGTATGATACTAAACCCCTAACGGGAGGGATTGTACCTGATTTTCATATGATGAAGACATAATCTTTCAATCAGTTTAATTGAGGTCTGGAGCTGGCATGTCAGTAACTGCTAGTAGTCCTTTGTTAATTTATGTATCACTGTCATTTTGCTTAGTTTCTTTTGTTACCTATTGTGACATCGGACTCGGACTTCTTTTAAACTGAGTTTTACTGTGTGCGTATTGCTATGTGTTTCTTTATTCTACATTAGCCAGAGGTATAGGGGGAGGGTTGAGATCTCACAAAACATGTTTAACCCCGCCGCATTTTTGCGCCTGTCCCAAGTCAGGAGCCTCTGGACTTTATTAGTCTTACGTGTTTTTTTTAATTTTAGTTCCTTTATATGTTTTTAAGTTTAGTGTGACGTCCATTTTCACTGAAACCAGTACACAATTTTATTTAGGGGCCAGCTGAGAACCGCCTCCGGGTGCGGGATTTTCTCGCTGCTTTGAAGACCCATTGGTTGCCTTCTGTTGTTATCTGCTCTTTGTTCGGTTGTTGTCTCTTTGACATATTCCTCCATTTCCATTCTCAATTTTATGTATATTAACCTAACAATTACACAGATTTAAATCAAAACAACCACCGACAAAATTCTTGTCTGTGGGCATGCGCATTAAAAAAGTGTAGTGGTGTAAACAGTTCAAACAGAAAACTTATGGTCGTACATCCTGTCCACATTATGTATTTATATCTTGCATTGGACAAGGTCAAGGACAAGGTTTCTAAGACTGTTTAATTTATGACGTCTTTATACAAAGTTTTTAATCCAAAAACAGTTTAAACATAAAACGTATGGTCCAACATTCTGTGGACATCATGTACTAATGTTTTGCATTGGACAAGGTCAAGCTTTTCTCGGACTATCACGTCTTTACACTTAATCCTTTGGATATGTACTGTTTGATACTTTAGTCTTAGAGAATATGATTTATTTATTAGTTACTGGCCTTGAACTAGCTTTCGGTAACTGCGAGTACTCTTAGATCTGTACTTTGTATTTGTCTTTTATGTTATTCTGGTTTTGTGTTGTGCTTCGTGCCAATCCGATGATCAAGCCTTTTCCAATTCTGATTTTAAAGTTTCTTATTATGTTGTGCTGTTACACCGCTATCGTAGGTTAGGTTAAGGGTTTGTTGCTGTCTGTTATATTTGTTTAGTCATAATTCAGGCCGATGTCGGGTTTCTTTGTTCGAATTATTTCACATTTTGTCATATTGGGGCCTTTTATAGCTGACTATACGGTATTGGCAATTATACTACATTTCCGTATTTTGACTGAGATCCCCTCCCCAATTTTTGGTGGGGTTCTTGTTGCTCATGCAGTATTCAGTTTTCTATGTTGTGTTTTGTGTCATGTTTTTTGTCTGTTGGTCTTTTCTTTTTTAGCCATGGCGTTGTCAGTTTATTTTTTGGATGTCTCTTTGGTATCTTTCGCCTCTCTTTTATAGTTTCCATTTCAAATTAGTTTTTGAATGTCTAAGAGTTAGATAAAACATTTTACCAATCCGCTACTGTGTGATGTCTTAGTACCGGATACTTTTAGACGGACTTTAACAGGATTAACACGACAGATGTCACTAACGGTACAGGGAATAAACTCATCATAGATACCAGGCTTAAAATTTGGTACGCCAGACGCGCGTTTCGTCTAAAAAAGACTCATCAGTATCGCTCGATTTAAAAAAAGTTGAAAAGACCAAATAAAGTAACAAGGTTCCGAAAGATTTTGCCAAATACTGCCAAGATACTCTATGCCTGGGAACTGCTGTCCAATCCGGGGCACTATAAGTTTATATAAAAATACGGAGATGTGGTATGATTGCCAATGTGACAACTATTTACCAGAATTCAAATGAAGTGGATGTAAGCAATTAAAGGCAACCGTACGGCTTTCAACAATGAGAAAACCCCATACCGTATAGTCAGCTAAAATAGGACCCGACATGAATAATATGAAAAAATTCAAACGAGAAAACCAACGGCTTAATTTATAACAATACAATTTACGAAACACAAATATGACAGACATGAGCCAACGACAACCACTAAACTACAGGCTCCTGACTTCGGACAGGCACTTAAAGAATGTGGCGGGATTAAACATATTTGTGTGCCCTCAATCCTATTACCATATCCCTATTTTTCAGTCGAGTTCGTTTTGCTCTAAATTTTCTAAAGCGCACTGGTTGCATGCTATCTTTCATTTTTGTTAACACAAGTAAATTATTTTTATTGTACTATGGTTTTCATATTCTAGCAAATGAAATGAGAGGAATGAAAAACTGACCCAAAAATTTGAAAATTCAATCATTTACAGCTGTCAAATATGCCAATAATCATTTCATAAGATTATGTTTTATGGCCAGAGAGTCGGTACTACAGTTTGTACAGTACTAACATATAAACTAAAAATATTTATAAAAATAAAACTATGGACATATATTAACCTTGGAAAATTTGTCAGTTATTCTAGTGACCACATAAAATAGACAATACATCTGTCATCCAAATACAAGGTTCATAAAGGGCAAATGATAGAGGTCGTCTACATTTAGATGTATTGCTATAGCAGTAAAATTGTTAAAGGGGTAAAATTGAAAGAAAAAAAAATTAGGAAGGGACATGTAGCAAGTCTAGTGCTCTGTTTACGATAGTAAGATATAACTGAACAATGTATAAGGTAAGTTAGGCAAATAATCAGAATTTACATTATCCCATGGTCAAATCAATTTTCGCCAACGCTTGAAGTAATGTTGAAGTTAACCCTAACACTAACCCCAACCCTTACCCTAACCCTAACCCTAACCCTAACCTAACAAATATTTTCGTCCTTTATATGCATGAAATATTTGCCACTGGTTGTGAAGCAAACAAAAGTCGATCAATTTTACTATTTCATTTAATTAATTAAAAGACATTAGCGAATATCATTGTGTTTAATCAATTTTGTTACATAAAAATAAAAAAAATTAGATTAATTGGGTTAAGTCAGGAATGTTGCTATACAACTGATTCCCTATAGTCTTAGCCATTCGATTTTATTTCCTTTAGTTTTTTAAAAGACCTTACTTAACCACTATCCAAACACACGACTTTTTTCAACCGTTGATTTTGTCCATTGTGATGGTAAATTTTTACATTCTATGGTAACAATAGACGCAACCGTCGGTACCGATTTAGTATAATTCAGGGAATTAAGGAATGATTCTTTAAAAATACTAATCAATGAAATATGCTTCTGTGATCGAGTCATTGTACTGAATCTAATGTTTTGCTTTTTTCAATAAGATTTGTATCGAAAATTTGATGCATTCAAATGTGGTCATTATTTACTTATTATTGATTCAATTGAAAAATTACATTATTAAAATACATAATTATTTTTTGTCAATTATTGTGTATTTGGTGTCCACTAAAGTTAGCGGTTGTCAATTTTCAAAATACACATTGTTTACGTACATCGTAAAAATACATTGACTCACAGTAAACAGTAGCACGTTTCACTTTCGTGACAATGTATAAATGTATCTCGGGCAATGTGCAATATCAATATGCCCTTCAAATGTGTATTCTCATACATAAAAGAAAGATAACACACGACACCCACATTTATGTTTAGATCTTAATAGGAATCTTAATTCGGTAAACATGTAATAAAAATACAATGGCTAGCGTAAACGATTATTTTGATCGATAGTGGTCTCCTATACCAAGGTCATTGCGCTGTTCAAGCATTGGCTTAAAATCAGCTGTTTACACCTTCCTGTTTTATCTGAATCTTAAGAAAGGTAAGACTGTATACTTGTTATTATTCAAGCTTAAAAGGAACCTGTCGATTTCTGTAACGATATACTATACGACACTTATTTGTATTGTGTAGTGTATTCTGATTATGTGACAATAAAAAGATTTTATTCTCTTGATTTTATTATATATCTGTTCGGAATTTCCGCGTCACATTTCCTTTTAGAAACAATTTTCTTTTGTGTATTTTTCGAAAAAGTGGATACAACCGTTATCGATATTTTTAAATTAATTTGTATTTTTTTTTAATTTAATCATTAAAAGATCATTGTAAACAAATACAACATCAATGGTTGAAAATAAACTTAAAAGCAATTCTTTGGATTAATTTCTATCTGTTATTTAATCGATTTTCTTCTTTTACAAAGTTTATAATAACGGTTTCTTCCGTTTACTGAAAATTGATGTATTATGGAGACTTGATGGCCCGTATACACACGTGCGGATACACACAGATGTCCATTTTCATTACAGATTATCCCATTTGTCCATTCATTATCGGCTTTCGGGATCTTGATTGTAATGTATTTACACACATTTACACTAGGGGCAATTCATAAATATCTAGTTTCTTCATGACACCATTACTGCATGTACATTTACATATATACTAGTCTGTCCAAATAATAAACGAAGCTAACTTGGCCACATTATTAAAATTTGGCAGTAGTAAAGACAATTATATATTATTTTTGTCCAGCCAGATAAGATGTGTAACACTGATATGTATTATGTCCATCATTAGTAATAGAAAATGACAGTACTTTAATAGCTGCAAGTGCAACCCCGAGAGTGCAACGCATATAGGTTAATGTGATATAATGTAAAGTACAGACAGTCATTTTTCAGCCAGGCATTGTACATTTTAATGTACTCATCTCGGTACTCATACAAATTATCATGTAATATGAATCCAATCTTCAACGTTGTCAAAATATACCACAAAAACGCATTTCCTGTAACTTGTCCCTTTAGTTAATGTTTGTTTAATTCTTAGAGAAAAAGATTTAACTATATAAACACCCTGAACCTATTGTTCGTAATCCGTAATCGGATATCCTGCATTTATCATGCTTTTCCATAACACAAGATAAAAATGCTTAATTATTGAAAGCTATCATTTGTATTATACTATGATATGTATTGGTGTAATTAGCTACACACAATTAAGACTCACACCGTACCCTCGTGGTTGTATCTAAAATTACATGATTATCCTTCGAAAATAATCCTACTAGAATTATGACAAATCAGGGAAAAAATCCCAACAAGATTATGATTTTACTTTTGAAAAAAAACCAGTGAGATTGTCCATTGTACTACTGACCGGTGTTGAACTTTGAATAGGCGGTAAACCTGTATGGGAGTTTGACATTATCATATAATTTCACACTTAACCTCTTATGATATTAAGAATTTCTGTTTGCTTTTCAGTGGGAGACCCATCATAGACATAGTAGATTGTCAAAGTGACTTCATAAATATCTAATATTAGCTTATGTCGCATTAATACATGCTGATGTATTTAATATAATCACAGCTGTCCAACAAGCAAAATCTATTAGATAAAAATCATTATCATTATAGATTTTTCACATATTTCGAACTGTTACAAATTTATTTCTTATTGTATTATTTAGTTTAAAAATTGAAAAAAACATCGCATTGTGATATATCCCATTAGTATATGTGTCGAGCGGCGAATGGGGTACTCTGTGGTTTATACTGAATAATTCTACGTCCGTCTTTTGTAAACAGGACAAGCCTACTATTTAGTGTATGGAAAAAGTCAAGGCCAAGGAGTGAATGGAAACATTTTTATTATTTACTCTTTGCAGGTACTTAACGCTCTTTGTTAAGCTAAGATGTACACACCTAATAGTTATTAAATTTATAAGGTAAGTTAAAATTTGAAAATTTTCGTTGTTTATTTTTTTTTTATGTACATGACGACATTGTTAATGCGTACTTGTTTCTATATTTTGGTTCGGAGTTCCTTATTAGTTGAAGATCAATGAGGAAATGAAATACTAAAGTAACTAAACCATTTGTTACATTTCTTTTTTAATGAAATATAACACATTTCTGTTTCGTTTCTGCTTAAACTATGTAGTTCCAACCTCCTCGTGTTAACTTTTAGTAAGACCGAATTTCGTATGTATAAGCACACTTGGTTTTACTCATTTATGAATAAAAAGACATGCGGGATATACGTCACAGTGGCGGGTCCAGAAATTTTCATAAGGGGGGGGGAATAACTGCCATAAGAGGAGGCCCGCTCCAGTCGTGCTTCAGTGGTCCCTAAATAATCAACCAAATTTTTCCCACAAAAAGGAGGGGGCAGGCACCCTAGGCCCCCTCCCCCTAAATCCGCCTCTGTGTCAATAGGACAGCAACCCAACGACAAAAACATAACCAAAGATAGTTAGAGGGCAACGTACCGTTTTCAACTTAAATCAAGTATGCTATACTGTATGACTTTTTTTTTTGTCAAGCTATAATAAATCGTTCTGTGTCTATAAAAGTTGAGAAATATTAAACAGAAACATTCAAAGATCAGCCATTGACACCAACATATCCAAAATAACAAACAAAACAAAAATAAAATAATTCGACAAACGATATCAAATGACAAACTTCCTTACATGAGACGGGTACATGAGTACATGTATATGTTGTGGTTTAACTAGTTTTTTTTTATCACAACGTTTTTCATATATTTACAATACATTACCCGCTTTCCAAAAACTCTGACTATTCCAAACGTAGGGAACTATGAAAAACTGTGCTTCATACACTGCAAACTAAGCATAACTTGAGGGATTACATGTTCATTATACTAAGTACATCAAAACCATTTATCCCAAGTTCACTCAAGTGCTGATAAAATTGTCTACAGTACAAATTAATCATATTTTGTTATTTTGTTATTTAATAATATGTTAAAGGAGAAGTTATATGATAGGGTTACCCTTTAACCCTTTGTATTCAATAATCACAGTAATACTATTGTAAATCGGTTTAAACTGTTTATTCATCCTGAAATCAAAAGCAGATTTCCTGAGTAACAGGAGCGACAAGTACATATATTTACACATAACATGATAGTACATAAGTTCTTACAGATTTTCGGCAGAGTTTTTCAGATATTTGTAATAATTATATTCGAATGTTGCATCAAATTCATGTATTTACTTTATGTAAATGATATCATACAGGTTGCAGTGCGAACACACAAAAACACATGGTCCAAATACTCTAATTTGGTACAGGCACAAAATATAACAAGTCAAATCATCTAATTTTGAAATCTCTACTATGAGTTTTAGAAATGTGTTGCAAACAATATTTTATATAAATTTGATAATGTGATTAAAATAACTACTTGCTGGTTAAAATTGTTACTCGTATTTAATTACACCCTCGCTCCGAAGGATGGATAAAGTTCTTTAGCTCTGTCCGTCCGCCCGTTCCATCAAATATAAGTTCACTGAAGTGACCAGACTGTATATATTTATCTTGTTTAACACTGTAGAATCAAGTTACATCCTTGGCTTTCATGTATTCGGCTTTGAGCGTTCCTGATGAAGGTAAATCCAGAAAAGCGCTTCGGACGCATGAAATTTATAAAGTATTGTTTGCACATTAAATTTATTCCTTTTAGATGTATTTCACAATTTCAGCTCTTTTTGTGGCAAAGCACGGGTTCTGAATAAGATATGCACTTATTATTTGAAAAAAAAAACAGTGACGTAGGAACGATCAAATTACCAACACTTTTGTTTTATCTTATATGCAAAAAACTAGGTGACTAAATTAAATTATAATTCATAAAAGTACAGGGACGATTATAAATTGTAATAAATTTGACTGACAATGACATTGGAATATTGCTACAGAAATTAAAACATGCGTTACTTTAAAGTAACTATCATAATTATACCATACAATTGTTTATCTTGCAAAAATAATTTTGTAATTTTTATCACTTTATTTGACACGAATCAAATGTTATATGTGTCTGACATTTGAGTGACCCTTTCAAAGTAATACGTATAAGTATTATATATCAAGGTCCCGTTATCACTTGTCATATATACATGTATTAGTACTACCGTGTATACTGTGACATCAAATGTGAATACCGACCTGTTTTCATGACAAATATTGTTTAATGAGTTTGGACATTTTGAATTACTCTGTCAAGAACTTAATGCGTGTATATATATTTTTATTTTTATCATTTCGAACAATAATAGACAATAAATGCGATATTAATTAAGACCAAAATTGGTCAGTTCAATCTCGATTTTACCTTTATATTGAAGTTAGTGTGGATTACATAAGATTTACCTGAATTCAAACGCAGTGGCGGATGCAGTTGGGGGGGGTTCGGGTGGCTGGAACCCCCTTTTTTTACAATCAATGCTTTTGAACGGGGTCATATGGTTGGAACCCCCTCCCCCCCCCCCCCCCCCCCCCCCCCCCCCCCCCCCCCCATTTAAAAATGGCTGGATCCACCCCTGAAACGTAACATATCTGGTTTCAACGCCTTTATAGATCACCAAATGTCAACAATTTGCATCTGTCGTACACTTTTTAAAAATCTCTTTTTAAACCATTGGGCCCATTTGAAACAACTTTGATCTTCTTCATCTTTAAAAGAGTCTATTCTAGGAATTTTGTCCGATAACACCTTTGCTAACTAACATGGCCGCTATATATTTAATAGATACATTTGTTATCCTTTTTAAGATAAATTGCTTTTAAAACTTTTAAAAAGATGTATCTATGATCTTCATAAAGAATCATGTTTAATGATCCAATCCGTTTTTAAAACAAGACCGCTACCATTACTGAAAAGAAATCAGAATTTCCTGTACCAAAAAAGTCAATAAAAATTTTCTGAAAAATTATCTGCTGGCCCAACATTTATCAAACTATAATGGTTAAGCGATCATACATATATTATCCTTTCATAGGGAGGTATGGGATCGCCTTCAAAACTTGTTAACACTGTTACTATACAATACAAAATTCGACAAAAATATGCAGAAAAACAAGAAAATCATAGGAAGGACTTATCGCTACCAAACTTTGGATAAATAATTATAGTACATTTTATCTCTTTTAAGAAATGCGGTTGATAAACTCATTTGCTTTAAAAACAAAAAAGGCTTCCACCGTTACTTATCATAAAAATTAGACAAACAATTCAATGAAAAAATCTGGCGTTTAATCCTATAGTGACTCTCAATTTTGTTATTTAATTAACCAGTTTTTTTTGAGAGCATGAGCATGATTTGCATATAAAGTATATACATACTTATCTCATACATGTCAGTGTATATAGATACATATGTGTTGTATTTGCAGGACTGGATGTGATGTAACACTAGCTTATCATGTGAATTCATTGTACAGTTTTCCAGTTTAGAACGTGAATTTGTAGTTCAGTAGAGGTAAGAGGGTAATTATTAGATCAGGTATTATATAAATGTAAATAAACAAGAGATACCAAAGTACAGCTGGAGCTTTTCGTATAGATAAAATATTTTTTCTTCTGCTGGGGTTTCTGTCTCGATGATGTATAATCCACATAACATGTTATTCATAGTGTGTCCCAAACACATGGGGTGATAATTGGATAGCGGCTTTGAATATTATTGAATCCCTTTTTATCATGATGACCTCCAACATGGCCAATTTCTGAGTTACTGTAGCTTATAACTCTTTGGACACGTACTGTATCTTAATACTGTGGTGATTAATAATATTAACCAACCAGGCACATTTTTAGAAAATTACGCAGTCAATTTTCTTTTACCATTGACCAGTCTTCCAATCCGCATTCCGAACTCGGTTCCGTATTTTACATACTTAAAGTGAATGTTCGTATGCTCATACATTGGTAAAAGAAAGACAACTCCAGCGTTGCAAATGTACATTTTAAAATAACAGATGGTGTTGTCTCCCTTCAATATGTCTTGTTGTGTACAAAATGGCGGTCATTAACCTTCGTGACCGTCGGACAATTTTCAATCATCTTGTTGGAAATACAACTGGAACAGACTTAAATTTGTAATTTTCATTCTTTAATTTCTTAACCTGTCATACCTGCCAACTTGCACGATTCAGGCGTGAAAAACTCGATTTTGTCCCCTTGTCACGATTGCACGATTTTGTTAAGGTTCATCATAACAAATGGACAAATATGGCCGAATTTTCACCTCAAAAACTACTCTGTGTACAGACTTACCTGTGCAGTTTGGAAAGTTTTAAGGCCTGGCATCCACTAGATATATAAAAGTTAATTTCATTTTGTATATCAGTAAGATAAAATCTTTTTTGGATTATGATGGGCATTTTTTTTCGTTCCTGCAGAAGGTGTAAAAATTAACTAAGTTGGGATACAACTTTGAGATGCTCCCTCTCAGGTTACAACTGGTTTGTATTGTATTGATTGTCCTTGATTGGCATGGACAATAGATATCTACACATCTATAGGTGAGTTAAAGGTAGAAACTGAGTGGACAGTATCAAATGCAATTCAGGTGTTTGTTTATTTTTACACCCTCTGCAGGAAGGAAAAAAAATGCCCATCAAAATCCAAAAACGATTTTATCTTTCTGATATGCAAAATAAATTTAACTTTTATATATCTAGTGGATGCCAGGCCTTAAAACTTTCCAAACTGCACAGGTAAGTCTGTACACAGAGTAGTTTTTGAGGTGAAAATACGGCCATATTTGTCCATTTGTTATGATGAACCTTAAATTCTACTGTTCCCAATTTCGAACTTTCTCAAACTTTTCCCATGGGAGACAACTGTGATCAGCCAATCAAAATCGTTGTTTCTCCTGATCTTTGGGTATTGTAAACTGCAAATGTGCTAAATTTTGAACTTGTCAGGAACTCAGAATATTGTAGAAATCGTGATCATGGCAGACCAATTTTCAATTACAAGAAGGTTCTTACACAGCTTAAGAAGTAAATCATGACTGGTTGACAAAGTTCAAAGATGCAGTTCAACCATAAACATAATAAACAGTAGCTAATGGATAAATTTTACTCTTATGGTAACAGATCATACATGTTGTCATTCTTGAAATTAAATTACCAAATCCATTAAAGTACAATGTTCTATCTTTTAATTTTCACAAGGAATCAGATATATTTCCTTCTTTGTGAATATTTTTATATTTGAAAAGTCAACAATCACTTTAATATTCCTTTGACCAATAATCTGATAATCCACCTTTAAGGTTCATGTAATATACACCAACAAAAATGGCTGTGTTTACACCATGAAATTTTCTCTGAATGCAGACAAAACTGTGTAATTCTAATAGTTTTAAATCCACGCAGCACCTGGCCACAACTCCTCTTTTTCCTGTGGTACATGAAAACAATAAACCGGTTTGGTACATTGTTGAGGTCTGAAAGTGACTGATAACTGCCAACAGCCACATTATTTGGACTCTGGTAGATAGTACCTCAGACTGTTATCTCATTGGCAATCACATCCCATCTCCTTATTTTATTACGGGTCAATTATTTGAAATAAATGACTACAGTACTAAACATTAGTTTTTTGCAATAATTTATGTTGTCATTTTAAGATTTCAGTGTAAGCTTGATTACTACAGGCTCTTCACAATGAAATTAAGTTGTATAAATGGTGTCATATTGTTTGTAATTGTGAAACTAGTATAACAATACTATTGTCTAAATCTACAGAAATTGATCACGTTTAGGTAACTGAAATAACAATGTGATTATGTCACTAGGTCACCTGTAACTTATCTCTTGAATAAGGACTATGTTTGGTATAAGAGCTTTCTTACTACAGGCTCTTCATAATCATTTTGTTAAATAATTCTACAAATAAGGGAAACAAATTCACATATTACTTTGAATATTGTAGATTGTTCAGGTAGTCTTGAGCTATTTCTTTGTACAGCAGAACTAGTAGTTATTTTCACTTCACACACATATATATATATATCTTGACAAACAAATAAAAACGCTATAGATTGTGGAAACAATTCATATCTATTCTATCAGTTACCCTACCTACCATAAACTGAACGTCGCCTAAGATTCAATAGGTAAATTAAGTAAAAATCAAGACTTGCATCAAAAATATCCTAATATGAGAGACAATGGCGTCATTTTTACTTAGAGCTTTCAGCTCTTTGATTTACATACTGGTAAGGTACGCAAACGTTACTTAAAAGTGTTTCGAGTTTACAGCGATAATACAGACGTAGAAAAGAAAGATCACATATAAGGTAATTAAGTTTTTCTAGATTTTTTCCTCATATGAATTCTTATTAGGTGACATGATACATGTATAACCATCTGATGAAACATAATTTTAAAAGCAGTATGGATAACTTAAAGGTACTTGTTATGGTTGCTTGTTTGTTTTATATTGTTTCGACAGTTGGAGCCTTTAAAAACTGTCATACGAATGAACACGATGAAAGGTTTGGTTTGAACCCAACCTTTGCCATACGAATATCTAAAATTTGCCATTCATTATTCAGTTGTTAAATCTACTGTATCTAAAAAGTTACTAAACTTCGTAGTGATTTATTTCTATTTTGGAAATTTCCTTCGGGCTTAGTACAATAATAGTTGTAGTATTGTAGAAAAATATAATTACTGTTCTTCTCCAAGACAGATCAGTCAATGTTTATATATGAATAGAGAGTTTAACTTCAGTTGTATTTAAAAGTTATGATTGTAGTATTCAGTCAAAAAACTTCAGACATGTAATACTGACCAAGTTATGACATCTTATAATGAATTTGCTATTCTTATAAATTAAAACATTTTGATTTAGAACAAATTAGAACAAATAATCTCTGGAAATCCTCTCTTCTGGATAAATCCCATCTTCCCCGACAAAAGCCCATAGGGTATACTAGCATTATTATACTCTCATTTTTCTTACGTAATTTAAACTTAGGGCCATTTCTAAAATCATGTTACGATAGATAGAACGATAGAAAACGGACCCCGTATCTGATCATGCAGACTGACTTTTTATGGACTTCCATATGTGACTTTCTAATATTGTAAAACTATAGGGACGTGTAGTGGACGTTTAACCGGATACAACCTGACGTTGTGATACTTTATGGATGACCATATGTGACTTCTCTATGTAATATATTATTGATTTAGTTAATAATCAACAATAGAACATTTAACCTACGTTTTGTGCATCACTTTTCTTATACCTATACAAATCTATACCACTAGTTTCCAAGTGTTGGCAATTACAACATGTTTTTTCTTCCATGAGTAAAATTAGACCCGAAGTTAACAATTTTATTTTTGCATAGCCTGTAACATACTCCAAAGCACTAATAAACTACCAAATTTACAGATTTTTTTGGTTGGAGTTAATAGTATATTCATATAAAGTATTCTCATATGTATTCTATAAGCTATATTAAGAACTACTGTTACTAAAAACCTTAAGAGTTTACTAGGGTATAGAAATAAGGTCATTCGTGGACTTTCCCGTTCGGCAGTTAAATCCTTGCTAAAGTGAGGAGTCCGTTTGGCTTTTCGGGATGATGTATAAATACCCATCCACGTCCGGTCGGAATGGGGACGTTAAATCGATGTCTCGTGTAGGGTGGGTTCAAAGCTCTCTACACGTTAAAGAACCCATTAACCAACTGCTGTTAAAGGGTTCCGTAGAGGGCCTGTTGTAAGGCTAAATATCTGCCATTATAATTTATGTATGCTGCAAATGGAAACGTGCGGAAATAGAGAGAAATGGAAGAGTAAAGGCCAGATTTGAAGACCATGCAGAACAGAGTGATTTCCAACATTCAGTTCTCAGATGCGTTCTCATACTTACGAAATATCATGAGCCAAAATCCATCAATTGGAAACACAACTTCAAAATACTGATGGATTCAGTCGAGAAGTATGCCAGGCAATGGGCTAAAAGCGACAAAAAGACGTAGATACCCTTTCCGAATTGGTTAAGGCTATGAGGTCGTTGATACCAATCAGAATTTTAAAAAATGAATGGGTTTTTGAATACATATGCTATTTCGATCTCCAAAGACCCAAATGCTGATTAGCACCTGTCTTACCTCCATGACAAATATGTTGTTGTTTCCGCAGATAAAGCCCCAAACAACATCGTTTTTGTGTGTAAATCACATTACATAAACTGCTTGATAAAGGAATGAGGTGTTGACAATTCATTTGGAAACTCAAATATCGGCCGGAATTCGGTATTTTTGTTATTAGTCCCCTTCTGACGAAGTCGAAGGGGACTTTAGGTTTGCACTCCGTCCGTCTGTCCATCCGTCAGTCCGGCAAATCAGCTTTCCACACTTTTTGTCTTCGTTCTTGAAGATATTGATTTGATATTTGGTATATAGTTTTATCATGACAACTTATAGATCAAGTTCGAATTTTGTTCCGGTCTGATGATTTAGTCCAGAGTTATGGACCATAACTCTAGACCATTTCTAATGTTAGAGTACTATGTTAAACCATATCTCTGTACAAAGGGAGATAACTAATTTTTTTAAAGACATTCTTTGTTATATTATTTGAAGAATTTTTTGGCAGGTTTGTTTGTTATTTAGTATAAACTAATTTTCTGAATGCTATATTTATATATAAAAAAAATTATGAAGAGAAATTCTTTAATTCGATAATAATCTATTTTTATTAATGTATATATTTCAATACATTACATTGTGTAGATAAAAGATGTTGACATTTTATAGATAAGTTACAAATCTATATTAGTTTGTGACAAATGAAAGAAAAATATTTGGAACTATTAATTATATTTGATTATAATTTGAAAATAGATATACACTGTATTACATCATATCTAAATTTAGAGAACTGTTAATCATATCTAATGTTTTTTTCATCATGCTTATAAGATATTGATTGATAATTGGTATAGAGTTTTATCATGACAAGTTACAGATCAAGTTCAAATTTTTGTTTCGGTCTAATGATTTTGTGCAGAGTTATGGTCCTTGGACTTGAAAAATTCACTCATATAATCAGTTTTCCACACTGTTTTTAGTCATGCTTGTTTTATTTTATACCCTCATGACACTTACAAAGGAGGAAATCCTGAATAATCATAGGTCTGTTCTATGTTCCTTTGGAATTTAAACCAAAGATGAAGGACTGGATCTTCCTTCACTGTATTGGATACCTTAATTACATAAGTGTCATTACAAACAATGTTATATTGCTGGGTCTTCCAATGGCTCCATGAAACCTCTTTCAAAATTACAATCATCAATTTTATCAGAAATCAAAGACGGGTTTCAAAGTTACTGTGAAACTACCTACTCTAGGGGCGGCGTTAATCAGATGTGGATACTTAAAAATACCAATGATCTGTTAGAATACGTACAATCTACCGTAATGTCTTGTTCCTCTTGCAAAAGTATTAAAACATTTGACTTTTTTTTCCTTTACACAAATATTCCCAATTCCAACCTAAAAGGCAAATTGAAAGAATTTGTCCTGCTTTAATTCAGAAAAAGAATGGTCAACGTAGATACAAGTATCTTGCCTTTGGGATGGATAAATCACTCTGATTTAAACTACAAATTCTCTGAAACTGACATTATCAAGATACTTGATTTCTTGATTGACAACATATTTGTTACGTTTGGAGTACCTTTTTTTTCAACCAAACAATCGGTATTCCCATGGGGACCAACTATGCTCCTCTTCTTGCCGACGTGTTCCTTTATTCATATAAGGCTGACTTCATACAAGAGCTAGCATTATCCTTTACTTCACGTTCCGCTACATAGATGATGTCCTCTCACGAAATAATTCAAAGTTTGGTGACTATCTATGTTGAACGCACCTATCCATCGAACTTGAAATAAAGGATACAACGGATACAGTTAAGTCTGCCTCATATCTTGACTTACATCTAGAAATTAACAATAAGGGTCGGTTGATGATAACAAACTCTATGACAAAAAAGATGATTTCAGCTTCCCAAATATGAACTTTCTATTTCTATGTAGTAACATTCCAGCAGCATCTGCTTATGGAGTATAAATCTCCCAGTTGATACGATATTCCAGCGCTTGCATTTCCTGTCATGATTTCCTTGATAGAGGCTTAACATTATTGCTTACAAGGAAGATATTGAACCAAGAGATCCAAGTGATGATGTTGAATAATCCCTTCGAAAACTTTACGGACGCCATCACGAGTTGGTTGACCGCTATGGAATATCTGTTTCACAGATGACGACTGATATGTTCCAATTGACGTAACCTCAACCCCGTCCCTCTTTTTCTAATAACTAAAATAACTAATAGAATACAGAAAAATGACTTATTTGTTCCTAACGGAATAAAGGATGTTGGGACAAATATTATAGCATTGTTGAGTTTCTGTTAAGGGGAACAAATATATGTTGACAATGCGACTGTATATTTTGATATATATATGTGTGTGCGTGTTTGTGCTTCAATGCATATGTGATTTCATGTCCTTTGATACAGGAAACATTACCTTGAATTCAAATTAGTAGAGTAAGTTTTAATTACTGACCTCTTTCAATTGACTATACTTCATTTCAATAAAAAAAAAACTATCCCTTGAATGCCAACAAATTGTCACTTGTAATTTGTCAGATTAAAGAATGTAGGCATTCAAGGAATAAGCCCTTGTGTCCTTTGGGGCTTTTTGCCTGCTCATAAAACATTTATTCATAATTTTATAGATATTTCTGTATGCAGATGTAAAGTCCATAGAAGTCGTTTAGTGTTGTGTAAACTCTTGCGTAACATTTAAAATGTCTTTGTTGGTAGATACAGCTGATTCTTTACATTATGTGTTGTTCCTAAAATGATTTTCTAATCAATAAGTTTGTAGTATATCCTAAAAATTGTTCCGTTTATTAGGTCAATATGCCGGAGTCACGCACAGAAGAGGAAGACACAGAATGCGACTCAGACGTTCCCCTACCCCCAGATGGTGGATGGGGATGGGTTGTAACTTTTTCGTCATTTATGATTAGTTTCCTGGTTGATGGAGTATGTTTCACATTTGGGTTGTTTCTGCCGTCCTTTTTGGATCATTTTGGTGGCAGTAGGGGGAAGACAGCTCTAATTGGATCTGTGATGAACGGAATGTACCTATCATTTGGTGAGATTTTGTTTATTTCCATTATTTATACAATTTTACTCATTCTATTAGAATAAATGAATCATGTTAGGTATTGTTAGTATTTTGTTTCACTGTTAAAGGAATAGAACAATCGATATGCTGGCGGCCTTTGTCCTCCTTTGTGTGTTAACATAGCATGAAGCCTATTCCGTTTGTACACAACGTAACCTGTCGCCACGTAAATGATTAAAATAAATTTAGACGAAATGTTAGAAGATGTTTTATTTCCATTAAATGGGCTCACAAAGAGCATATTACTATATGACTTTTGTTTAAACAACAAAATAAAACAATAATGAATTATACATACAAAGGAAAGAAAAACAAGTTTAACCGCTGTCATATATCAGTATTCTTGTAGTTCACGTTATTAATAAGGCTACAAACATAATTTCTAAATCATTTGTCAAAAGATGTGTCATAATCTAGATTTGTCCTGAGAATATAATTTAGTATATATCACACATGTATCAAGGCTATTTTGTGTATAATTGTATAATCTGTTATTTATATTGTTTGTAGAATATATACTATATTTTCATGTTTGTACCTATCGAAATATAAGTTCATCAATACATCAGAAAAACCAAAAAGAGTTTCTGAAGGACTTAACGTGTTGTTTATCAGGCAATGAGTGAAAAATGGAAAGTTACATTAAAAGTGTTATTCACAAGATGTGGGATAAATGTCAACAAGACTGAAACCAAACATCATAACTTGACCAAAATAAACATTATATTAACTAGACCAAAACCAAACATCATGTTATGTCGCGGCCTTTTATAGCTTGATATGCGGTATGGATTTTGCTAATTGTTAAAGGCCGTACGGTGACATATAGTTGCTAACATCTACGTCATTAGGTCTCTGGTGGATATTTGTCTCATTGGCAATCATACCACGTCTCCTTATTTTTTATCATAACTTGACAAAAAAACACACATCTGCATAAAGTAAAGGCCAAAACGCAAAATCATCAACAAAACGATCAACAAATCGACAGAATAGAATTTAAAAAAGTCAAAATTGCACGTGATAATTCCACGACAAGCACAACAATGAGCGCGACACACTTACCCCCTAAAACTCAAAGTTCAGTTTCACCTGCAAAATGTATTATCCTGAATAACGTAATGGTGGTAAATGTTTAACTGATTAAATACGACCTTAGTGTGTAGGGCTGTTTAGAGTCTGGATATTTTGAAATCTAGAAAGGGCGTAAAAGTTTCTCAGTTTCACATGCCATGTTCTTCAAGTTCAAAATCTGATATTTTTTTCAGGTCCAATTTCAAGTGCATTTGTAAATAAATTTGGAGCACGGAAAGTAGCCGTATTTGGCAGTTTTATGGCAGCAGCTGGTTTGTTTCTTTGTACGTTTTCTACAAACTTGGATTTAATGATTTTCTTGTATGGTGGTGTTGCAGGTTAGTATAAGATTTCGAAACACATACCCGACATCCGACCTGTATCATTCTTTAAAAACCCGACGGATACGATCATTTGCCGCTGTTGTCATATAGGTCAACACATGCATGGAAAACAGTTTTGCATTTTTCTTTTCAATTCTCATCTTCTTGAATGAAACAATAGAAAAACAAAGGATATGGGGTATCCATTCATGACACAAAATCAGTACATGCACAGCAAAATCACACAAAAAGCAAAGGAACAGAGCTTTTATTGCTGTTCTTCATCTCAAAGTCAGGCTGTTTTGTTTTAGTTTTCTAAATGTCATCGAAAGTACATCAGCATGAATTTGTGTATTGTATACTGTTGTACGTGTGTAGAAACTAACTGCTTTCTGAATAAAATATTGTTGATACTTACATCAGCATAAGTAACGATACAATCCATTTCCACATTATCATGCATATTGTTTATTTCGTGTTTTGAACATAGCATTTTCTTATTTTCTCAATATCGTCTTGTTGACAATAAAAGTGTTAAACTTTAGAAAAATAAACAAAAGACTATTTTCACATAACCGACTTTTGAATCCATCTAGTATATAATTTTCGACAGGTTACCTACAATATGGTATTCGGTCAAGTAAGCAGTTAAAAAAAGTAAAATCAAGTTTGCAATTTTGGGGGAAATTGACAGTTTTGCTATGATTTTGTTGTTTATAGAAAACATAAAACAATTGCTTTTCCCCCAAATTGCACCGATTGTAAGCTTGATGTTACTTCTTTTAGTTGCACTTACTTGACCGAATACCAGAATGTACTACCTAATCTATCGAAAAATTATAGAGTCAAAAGTCAGTACCCTTTGATGACCATGATACATCATGGACCGTCTGTAGATACTACGGTACTTAAAGACTTTCTTAGGAACCCGGGATGCAATTTAAAACAAATCGGCCGCAGACCTGGAACTACAATGATTTTGGTAATGCTAATTGAAACGCTCATCATTCGAATACGTGTTTGTTTTTATCTCATCTGGTTGTTGAAATAGAAATGTGTATGTTATTTTTTATTGAAAAAATCTCACAGAGGCGAAAGATACATGTACCTTAGAGACATTAAAACTCATAAGTCGAAAATAAATTGACAACGCCATGGCAAAAAAGACCAAAAGACAAACAACAATATACAAAACACAACATACTGCAGTTTAGAATTATCCATAATTGTTTTTATACGCCCGTCAAAATTTTTACGGGACGTATTATGGTATACAAATGTCGTCTGTCCGTCTGTCTGTCCGGCGTAAACATGTCGCACCGTAGCTTGAGAACGACTTATCCAAATTTCATGAAACTTAATATAGTTGTTTCTTATGATGGTCAAACGATCTGTATACTTTTTGGTGAAAATAAGATTAAAACTTTTTGATTTACGGGACTTAGTAACTTAAACAGGTGGGTGTTTTTTCACATGTCGCGCCGTATCTCAAAAACTATTTATGATTATTGCTTAAAACTTTACACACTACTTAGTAATATTAATCTTAAGATCTGTATACTTTTTGGTGATGATTCAAAATTTTATTTTTGAGTTATTGAGTATTTTGACGGGCGTATCATGCGCTCATGGCGCAGCTGTTTAATTTTTTCTATTTTCATATATTAATTAAATAATAACTAAAATCATATTGTTGGAGAATACGGTTGCAAATATTTGGATTTAGAACAATGAAAATGAAAATGAAGAAAAGGTGTATTCTGTTGGAACTTAATCTTTCCAGTCTTTTAATACAAAGTCTCTGTGTACATGTATATAATTTACATATAATGCAAAACCTTTTATCTTGTAGGAGCAGGTTTTGGTCTAGCTTACTTACCTGCTATTATCATGGTAGGATACTACTTTGAGAAAAAGAGGGCTTTTGCTACTGGGATTGCTGTGTGTGGTTCTGGGATAGGGGGCTTTGTCTTTGCTCCTTTATGTGTTTATTTAATCAACGAATATTCATGGCAGGGTGCTTTATGGATAATTTCTGGTATTGTTTTAAATGGTGTACTATTTTGTTGCTTTTATCGACCTTTACCAAAACGGCGTCGGACAACATTAAAAGACACCAGTGAAACTATAAACGGCAAATGTGCAAATGGACACACGGATCCGCTTTTGCAAAAGATTAAAATAGAGTTAGAAGTGCCAAATCCAATTTACAGGTGTAAATCACAAGAAATTAAAGTAGGTCAGAACGGTGATCTAGGAAACAATGTAGGGCGTTTAGCAAGGAGTCAAGACATATGTGGTGCACAAAAACTACATGTACATCATAGACATGTAGATAATCTAAATCCACTAGCTAGAAAAGATATATTCTATAGTGGTAGTTTACATCACATTCCAGAATATACGGAGTCTAAAGATGAATGTGAATACGTGAAGAAAATGACAATCAAAGACAAAGAAAAGACGAAAGAATCAAATGCTTGTGTTCAATTGTTAAAATCTATATTGTTATCGTTTGACTTTTCACTGCTGAAGAGTCCAACATTTGTAGTATACGGGATTTCATGTTTTCTGTGTATGTTTGGTAAGTATCATAATGATTTAAGTGTATGTAAATGAAAGAAAAAACAATATCATAGCACATTCGTATTTAATTCATTTCAATTCCAATACCCTGCATGTGTCACTTGTAATCAATTTTCCAAATGGTTAACATTTACTATATTAGGCGAAAACATTAATGGATTTTGAACGTGTGCAATCACAAAATCGAAGTAAACGACGTTGAACTTTGTCACAAGAAGAAACCAATTGTAATTTAGGACAAAGGATAAAAAAAAGGTATTACCGATGAAAACAGCACACTCATTGAAACATTAAGTATCACAAAAACAACAATGATTGAAAATTATAGCAAAGGCAACACGAATCCCACAAAAACTCTGTAGAGAACTCTGATGCTTGGAAAAACTTACTTTAATTCCAATAACCCCTTTTATAACTTTCTTAACCCTATCGTATGGATAGAAGCTCAATTTGAGGTTTTTTTTCTTAAATTCTGCCAATGGTTATGTGTTGATGATCAATTGTTCCAACAGACATGCAATGATATGAGAGCATTTGTTTTACACAACAATTAATAATGCAGTGTAAGACTGAGCATTACAATATATCTAGCAAAACACCGACACGTCTGGATTCTGATGCACGGTTCTCTGAGCTTTGTGAAACTTTGTTAAACCTGCGCGCTACAACGAACTCTGTTTTTATAAACTGAAATATTGAAAAGAATATTTTTTTTAATGATTTTGTATCTTTCTCAAATAAAAGAAAACACATGACCATGACTTCAACTAGTTAATATGCTGCATAATAAAACTTGTGTTTAATAGTGAAATGGCCTTCAGTTTTGGACGTCCAGTCTAAGGTTTGTTTTAAATCACAATTTTATCAAACGTCTTTACCTTGTGGCCGTAAGTATTTTTTGATAGATTTTAATCTTGATATCGGCATAAAAGTACATTTTGTTATTGCTTGGAGTAAAAATGCTATGCAAATAATGTATCCAGGTATTGACCTTCAGTGTCATGATTTATTTTTTCTTAAATTTTATGTAACACCCTTATTTTGAATATTTGCAGGTTTCTTCATCCCATTTAACTTTCTACCAGGTTATGCGAAAGAAGTTGGACTATCGCCTGGAGAACAGGCCTTGTTGATATCTTTAATAGGTATCGCAAACACCGTAGCTCGATTAGCTGTAGGGTTTATCTCCGATAGACCATGGGCAGATTGTCTCCTTATCAACAATATTGCTTTAATCATAGCCGGTGGAACAACTGCATTTGTGCCATTTTATAGGTTATATGGAGTTTTAATCACATATTCTATTTTGTTTGGCTCTGGAATAGGTAAATATATAATATTGATATTCTTTAATAAACTTTCGAAGCGTGAAATATTGAGTATTCAGAAAGTCATATATATATATATATATATGATTTCTTCGGATTTATATCAGAGCCATTACCAGAATGGCTTATAATTTTAATTAAAAAAAGAAAGAAATTAGGAAATAAATCAAGGTTTGTTTTTGTTAAATATGTTTTAAAAAATCATATGCATTATTGTTACGTTGGCATATGCACAGAGAGCATCTGCTGCGTCGTACCAGTACAAAAATAATGACTTTCTTCGATAAAATTCAAAAGGTTTGCCAAAAAGGACTAAAGTTAATGTTAAGTTGACGGTATTATAATGTGAATGCATTAACAGAATTATAACATTCTTTGCTAGTCCACTTCACTTTCAATCGTTAAATTCCAATTGACTACAGTACTGTTATATATATTATAATGCATTGCAAAAAGAAATAGTACATTAGAGCTTGTAATAAGATATAAATTTGTTTTATGTAACTTTTGTCGGTGTTGATGTCAGATAATAAATAGTTTCTGTTCAACTTCTTCACTACTTGTTTAGACTCTGGATGATTTCGAACTTAACATAGAATATAGACACCGGTCCTTGTTGTCTATTGGTAAACTAAGAACGTGTTTTCCTCTAGATGTCTTTTGGCTATTTTTGTCGTTGGGTTGCTGAATAGGTCCAAAGTTTGTGTTAAGCATGTTAAGTTGATGGTATTATTACTAATGTCAATGTATGAACAGGATTTATAACAAACGTTGCTAGCTATATATAGTCCAGTTTGCACATTAGGTTTAAATCCTTCACGTTCTGGCTTTCCAAACTTTTGTTCTCGAATTACCTGACGAAGGTCATTGTAGTAACATTTATCTTGTGTAAGGAAATCAGTGTCATATGAATAAACGGAGATATGAGATGTACGTCGATGAGGCAACAACCCAACTTCAAAAGTAATTAAAAAAACATCAAGAGGACAATACTCAGTTAAAAAATTGAACAGATGTTATACAATACGTCTAGCTCTTAATCGGACCGAGTCTATAAAAGTTGCGGTCTCCTTGACGTATACCCCATACATGTAGCTCCTTTTATTCATATATTTCTCGCCATACAGATCAATGCATGGCAATTTCTTCAACGCAAATAAGATAACCTTACAAAACATAATACTCTAGTTTAGTCCTTTGAAGTATACACAATAGTGTAATATGACTAAAAAAAGTTGTAGGGTAAACACAAATAAGACTGTAATTGAGGTCAGCATAAGTCTTTTTCAATACACGAGTGTCTTTACAGAATGTTAAGGTTTAATCGCCCCGTGTCTATTAAAGAAAATATTTTACAAGCAACTAGAATTTTAAAAGAAGATAGATACATGCATCACTTTATGAAAAATAAAAAAATGATATGTCGTGTTTAATGTTTTTGGTTTAATTGTAGCTGCATTTGTATCATTACGTTCCATTATAATGGTAGAACTGATGGGTATAGAGAAGTTATCAAGTTCCTTTGGTTTGGTTGTCTTGTGTCAAGGCTTATCATCATTCCTCGGTCCACCAGTCACAGGCAAGTACCATATAAGGAGTGACGTTATTGCATTTAAAAATGATACGTGGTATGATTGCCAATGAAACAAATCTCCACCAGAGAATAATGACGTAGGAGTTGGCAAATATACGTCACCACTCAACTTTCAATAATGAGTAATACCCATACCGTGATGTGATAACGTGTACATCTTATTGTATGATCTTTTATAAAATGCGCTAGATGTCGACGAATTCTATAATTGTAAAGAATTCTTAACTTTATCATAGCTACATTGTATTTTGAGTTTATATTTCGATCATATATCAATCTTCGTGATCGGAAAGTTTTAAATAATAGTTAATTGAAATGTGTTACGTTGCAGATAATTTGTTTTTTTCTTAGATACAATTCATATGAACCGTGCAAGCCATATATCTACAACATGGTTAGGGTATATATCACATTTGAACCCCTCTGCAGAATGGTTGATTGGGTTCTCTCACGTCCAGAAAGCATTACAATTTATACGTTTTGTTTAAGGTGTGATTATACAAAGGACGCCCTCCTCACCTCAAAAGTGGTTCTAAATCCTGGATGGAAGAATTGAATAATACAAATATTTCTCTGACCAAATTTACTTTTTGGTTACTGAATTTTAAGTACACTAGTACAGTGCTACGTGGTATGCGAATCAATACAACCCTCTTGTGTCTATTTTAAATGAATACAATACATATAGTTTGGCTATTATCTAACTGAATAAAATGCTTTACATTGTTGATGTTATATTTTAGGATCATTTGCAGACAAATCTGGAGATTACAGCATAACATTTTACATGGCTGGTGTTTCTCTTGCACTGGCTGGAATTATATGTATACCACTGCGTCGAATCTCAGCGTGGGAAAAAAACAAACAGAAATTAGCAAAAAAAAATGTGATTGAAAATGGGAAAAATTATGAAGAAAAGATTCTGCTTGAAAAAAGTTGATGGAAGTAAAGAAAAGAAAAAGCTAGTCAAATTTGAATCGTTACATTTAAATGGTTCTTCGTTGATTTCTGGTGAAAGAAGTTTTTAGTCGATAAGATATTAAAACTGTTTTTAGTTATATTTTTCATCTATATACTGTTATTTTTTAAAAGAACAGTTGAATACTCGAATATTAATAAAAACAGAGGACAAAAGACAGAATGATTTTTCTTAACCATGTTAAAATCTGATATTGCAAGCAGACAGACGTCACATACTTATTGTATGCCATATCTTTATAGTATCTATTAGTCTAAAATAGTGTGTTTTTTGTTTTTAATGTAATTGTAAAAAGTCTTGGTTTTTGTGTAACATACTGCTTCTATTATCGATAAATCATCGGATCAATATTAATGTACATGACTGGATGGGAAGGCATATTGAGTCAATGTACAAGACTTAATATCACGAAAGGTTGGCAAAAGATCAAGTAAAAACTCATGTTTTGATGTTCTTTATCTTGAATTTCTAGTAGGTTGTCAACGGTGAGATGACGAGTTCTTCTTACCTTTCCAAAGATGAAGATGGCCATTAATATTACCTGGAGCGATAGTCATTATAATTTATAAAACGTTGAACTTTTCGAAATAATAAGGATTTTTCCTAGCTGTCTTTGGCAAAACATTTTGGGAATTTGGGTCCTCAATGCACTTCAACTTCGTACTTTAGTTTTGCCTATTTACCTTTTTTGATTCGAGCGTCACTAGTGAGTCTTTGATCTGAACAGCTCTTAAAAGACTGAACGATAAACTATTATATAACTTTGATTTTTTTTCAGTCAATTTTCAGACTTATCCACTGTGGTAAATTCGTTACTGTTAAAACATTTCGCTTGCAGTCAATTAAGATCTGTTCAGACTGTTCAGTAGCTGCTATTCACCTGTACAAATCAACATCATACTGAATTGTCTGAAATGTTACTGAACAATACTGAATTGACTTCAAGCGAACTGTCTAAACAGTACTTAATTGACTTCAAGCGAACTGTCTAAACAGTACTGAATTTACTGGAAAAAAAAGTGAACATGACACTATAAGGAATTCTATATTTCAAACAAGCAGTTATCCTTAAATGACGAAGAGCACATATTTCAAAGACGGGCATATTCTATTGTCAGACTTATAAACAAAAGGTACCAATTGCATGGCCGTTCATGAATTAGGTAAGAAGGAATATAGGGTAATATACAAAAGACAGACTGTCAGTCTCATGGGAGAAACTGGCAAATAGACACGTGCCATGCGCACTGAAATCGGTATCACACGTTATAACTATCAACGTTCCTCATCTAAACGTTTGCTTGCAGTCGTTCCATTCAAACGGTCCGACGACAAGGCTACAGGATGTCTTTGGTAGGGATTCGTTCAAAAGAATCAATGACGAAATGATTGTTTACACATATATATATATATATATATATATATATATATAGATATAAGAAGATGTGGTATGAGTGCCAATGAGACCACTCTCCATCCAAGTCAAAAGTTAAAAAGGTAAACCATTATAGGTCAAAGTACGGTTTCAACACGGAGCCTTGGCTCACACCGAACAGTAAGCTATAAAGGGCCCCAAAGGGGGCAATAATAAAAATAGCAGGCGTGGATGAGTATTTATACATCCAAACACCATAATATATAATTGACAATTAAGAACAAAGATATAATAAACATGTGAAAGCTCTCTCACAGGCAAACAACCCATAATTGAAAAAATATAAGGGCATACACCACAAGCACGGGGACACATTCTACTGCATACACACATCACGAGCAACAAACCCTGCAGTAAATAGATATAAGAAGATGTGTACACATATATGCCTGTTGATTCTATACAGTAATATTAATTTTGCAGAGAAACGGTTACGTGCACGTGGATGTATACAATGATATACAATCAGACATTCTTTGGAGTGTATTTGGTCTGTTTTGGAAATGATTTGGCCCACTTGTTGTTAGTTGGTACTGTTTCATCGAACATTGTGATTGTGATGATTTTTATTATGATCTTCAAATATTGACCTCATCTATATCATTTAGACCAATATGTTTCCATGCACTGGTCATACTGTTGCTGTATAAAATTTACTCGGAAGAACAAAAGCCAATATGGGAATAGAAGGAGGTGTAATTGCGTTATCCGTATGAGGTTTTGTTGTCTGTAATACTTATTTTACAGACCTAAGGTACATATGGTGTTCTGAAATTGTCGAAGTCTCATAAATCAGAAAACATTTATACAATCAAATTAGCTGTAAAGTATTGTCAACTATACATGAAAAAAAATGATCATAGCAAGAACGAAAGCTATCGTACATATGGTATTCTGAAATTGTCAAAGTTCCATAAACCAGATAAACATTATAAAATTAAATTAGCAGTAAAGTATTGTCAACTTACGCAGCTTTCGAACGTAAAAAAATATGGTTATTAGTTTACGATAGGGAAAAATATTCGAAGTCCCATAACTCTCAAACCAACAGTCGTTATAATATGCCAACTTAACATCTTAACACAACAATTTCAACTAAGTATGAACGCTTTCGGACATCGGAGATGGAGCGTTCAAAATAAGCCAATATGCTATAAGCGGCCAGCTGTTGTCAAAGCTCCATTATTTCGCAAAAAAATTTCAAATTTGAATGCCGGTATAAAATGGGCAACTGCACATGATAACATGCAACCTGACGAAGTATGAAACCTTTTCACAACGGTTTGAGAGGAGAAACGTGCACAAGGTGTAAGCATTTATATTATTAAACAAATTTTGAACTTAACAGCCCTAAAAGACTGAAAATAAGTTATTAAGAAATGTTAAGTATTTCAGTCAATTTTCAGACTTATCCACTGCGGTAAATTCAGTACTGTTCAGATTATTATTTACTTACAGTCATTGAAGATATGTTCATTCTACGTTTAGCCAGTTCAGTGGTTGTTGTTTTTTACCGGTACAATTCAACGACATACTGAACTGTCTAATAAGCTGCTGAACAGTTCTGGGTTGACTGCAAGCCAAATGTCTTAACAGTACTGAATTACAACAAAAATTTTATCTGCAAAATCACTTACTAGTAACAAGGGATAACGCTTTTAGGTTCAGACTTTTCAATCCGTTTTTTGTTTACCTATTCTAACATCGGACTCGGATTTCCTTTAAATTGAGTTTAACTGCGCGTTTTCTGTGTTTTTGTTTATTCTACTTTGGCTAGAAATAAAACGGGAGGGATGAGATTTCACAAAACATGTTCAGACCTGCTGAATTTTTGCGCCTGTCCTAAATCTAAAACCTCTAGCCTTTGCTAGTTTTGAGTGTTTTTTTTTTATTTAATTTTGGTTCATTTATTATGTTTCGGAGTTTAGTGTGGCGTCCATTTCGCTGAACTAGTAACCATTATTGTTTAGGGACCAGCTGAAACCCGCCTCCCGTGTGCGGGGTTTTCTCGCTGCGATGAAGACCCATTGGTTGCCTTGATTTGTTTTCTGCTCGTTGGTCGGGTTTTTGTCTCTTTGACACATTCACCGTTTTCATGGCAAAAATTGTCAAAGCCCCATATTTTGGTAATAAATGGCAAATCAAAATGGATAAAGTATGGTCAACAATCTGAGCAAATATGAAGGCTTTCTGAGGAGTAGCTTCAATACGAAAAAATAGTCAAAGTCCGATAACTTCTGTTAAAATGAGGATGTTTAACGAATCTTCAGATTCTGAAATAAAATCTTAATTGCTAACATTTTACTGTCAAACTGGTACGTGTACCTTATCACTGCTTATAGTAGGGTGCCCAGTCAACAAATTTGATCGATTTGGGTTAACGGAATAACACACAGCTATATTTTATATCATTGGAAAGAGGAGAACAAGCCTCATCGAAATATTGATGTCGTCGTTGTCTATAGTGGTCACGATTTTCTTAAATTTGGGTTAAAGGTCAAATCTAAAATTTCAAGGAATACGAAGAGCCACGTTTAGACAGCTGGCCACCCATAGATATTTGCGTTTATAGCAAAATAAATTCGAATAATTCAAAGGATTATAACTATAGTTTCTATATTTAGGACTAATTGGATAATTTTATTGCCAAATATGGTTCGAGATTGACATCTGTACTTATATGGTGCACATTTACAATTTTCATTCAGCTGTTAAATAACAGTGACCTTGACCTTTTAAAAGTTCCAAAATCGGAATTTTTACATAAGATTCGATACAAGTGATCTTTAGAGATGTTTTTTTAGATATTAACATTTATAAGTTGCCCTCCTAAAATGTTATTTTGTCCGTCTTTTGATAGAATGTGTTCATCATGATTTTCTGGTAAATATCCAATTTTCTTTTGGTGAACGTGGAAGCACATCAAATAGTACTTAGTTCCAAAACTGATGAATATTAACACAGAATTTATTGCATGAATTAGCAGGTCTGAGTATATTTTTGCTTTACAGAAATTAAAAAAAAACTGCAAACGGTGAAAAAGGGGGAGGGTTTATGTTACAAGTTATGAAAACAAAATGAGAATTAGAAACAGCAGGCTAATCACTCCATCTTACACACTTATATGAAGTGTAATTTACATGACTTATCGAACATAAATTGGCCTACAATTGACATGACGTTAAAGATTATCTACAAAATGAAAGTTTTGAACAGCATCGATGTTTTTCACAAACACTTGTAAACAACATCAATCTGATTAAAATATAGATCTCTGATTTCGTTTTCTTCATTTGAGCTTATATATAAGAGCACGCGAGTTTTAATAAGAGCGAAACAACATAGAAAAATTGCCGAAGCTAGTAGTAGCTATTACGTCTCATTGTCTACTGTTAAGTTGAAAGCCCACCGACTAGGTTTAGGTAAGCAAGCTAAATTCAGTTGTTTTTTTTTAAATCGCATTCGACGTAAGTAGCAGAATGCAATGCGAGGGATACATAATACAATCTGATGGTGGTGGCGGCAACACCGTAAGCTATTTGTGTAGCTTTATATTGCAGAGGGCAGAGGAACTGGATGATTCATACTTTGTATATAGATTCATTGTGTTACGATGTTTCCGTCATATAATCATTATCCTTGACCTCATAGTCATGGTTAAGTGACTGCTAAAAAACTGTATAGCTTTTTTCGTTATGTGAATATCTCAATTATCATGAGTTCTAGGATAACTATATTTGGTTACTAATATATGGTATCCTTGCAAGGCCTACATGACCGTCAGACATAATTCATCTGACCTCTACCTAATTTCAAGGATCAGTGAATAAGGTTAAGTTTCAGTGGTCAAGTCCGTATAGTCTCAGATAGTAGTTGGTTAAATATATTTGGTGTATGGAATGTTAACAAAGTGTACATGATTTTGTTGCAGCGTTCATCTGACCTTACCTCATTTACATGTAATACTTGTTGTATAATATAAAAATTAGGAGATGTTGAAGCAAGCAATTATAGGCAACCGTACGGTCCTCGACAATGTGAAAAACGCATACCGTATGGTCGGCTATAAAAAGGTCAGTTATGAAAAAAATGAAAGAATTCATTTGAAAAAAAACCAACGGCCTGATTTATAACAAAAGCTAGTTTTTACGGTAATGATGTTTATGATCATACTTTTCTCAGACAATTGATGATGTCCTTTCATTAGTTTTCAGTAAAGGAACACCCATTTGATTTCGACTCGAAAACAGGGAGGGAATGAGGATTTTGAAAATGAATTACTTGGCCTGGTATGAACTGAAATAATTGACTTTGCACAAGACAGGATGAGAATGAACACTCTTCAACATGAAATGCAGAATAGTTGAGGATATGAATGTTTACAAAAGTAAAAATAAATTTTCGCGCCGCCAGCCCCATCCCTTTCTTCAGAATATAAAATGTTCTACCCTAGCGGCGAGTACTATTATATCGGTACTTTGTGTTTTTTGTCTTCATGTTAGTTTGTTTTTGTGCTTCATGCCGATTTGATAAGTCAAGCCATTTCAAACTGTTTTTCAACAGATTTTTCTTATGCTGTGTTGTTATACCATTGTCCAAGTCAGGGGAGGGATGAAGGATCACAAACATGTTTAACCCCTCCAAATTCTGTATATGCCTGTCCAAAATCAGGAGCCTGCAATTAAGTGGTTGTCGTTGGTTGCTGTCTGTTGTATGTTTTTTTGTTTTTTGTTGCACGGTGGTATATTTTTGTTGTCGTTCCCATCGAAAGGGATTTAGGTCGAAAACATCATATAAGACTTTTGAAGTGCCATATTCCGGGTGTGAAACAAAACCAACCGATTTGATTCTTATACTACAATTTTAACAAAATATTTATTCAATAAAAAGTTTAAAGTTTTGAAAAACAGACACAAAACAGATTTCTCCGAACCAAGTGATAATCTACAAAGTTAGCTGGCTATTCAAAACAAATAAATCAACCACCCAACAAGCAAAAAAGACAAATGTTTTGAGTGACCTCTGTCCTTGTTGTTGACCTAGTAGTGTAAGCAACAAAATGATTAATGGCACGAGATAATCCGTGTTTAATCAATACAAAAATGTTGACTTAATTTGTGTTTTTAATTGCTAATTTTATTCAAAACGATTTTTATTTCACGCATGCAATTTGGCACAAATATGCACTGTGTCTTATTGATTAAATCAGAGTAAAAAATATTGTGATGATACACGTAATAATTTTGCTTTCAATGAAAATAGGGTAAATTTCGGGTAAAATTTTACTCTTACTAAAATGCTGAAATACTTATATCAAAATCACTTAAATACTTTCTGATTTCGTTATATGATATATTTAATATATAAACTATATTATAGGTACTGTTTAGCTAACAACAAAGAACGCAATAATTTTATTTTTCATGTTAAAGATTCCCCGTACAATACGGTATCTGGTGGTACCCTGTAAAACACGAAATTTAGAAAATCGTGACCACGGGAACTTGCGACGACAATCATGATTGTAAAATATAATAAATTTCCTATAATATGCAAAAAAAAATCAGCCGTGTGTTATCCGTTAACTTAAACTCGTTAACTAGAGGACTTTTTGGACATTGGGCACCCTACTATTACTGTATGGAGAAATCGGTCGCTATTTGTTAATATGAATAAAATGAAACAAATCAATTTATGTCTTCTTTTATGGTTTAATTGCCAAGAGCTATCACTAAACAACTTATTACAAGCTGATAAATGATATCACTTATATGTAAAGATTTTATACTGTTTTAGAGGTTTGAGCAAGTTATGTTATATGACGAATAAAATTTCATGACTTTTGATTTAAATGTAAGTTTTTTCTTCCTTTTTATTTTCCTTTAATTCAATAAATAATTATCTTTCAAAAGGCTGTTCTTCCTCTGTTAGTGTCTCTTCAGTTTTACAGCATCTATTACTGAGTCGTAGTGATAGACTGGTTACACAACCGCACAGATAGTATGTGGCAACCAGTAAAAACGTGTAGAAGTAAGATCCAGATTTATCATATATGAAACCTTCAACATAAAAATGATATACGGTGACTTTCTTGTATAAACATATAATAATTGTATAACTATAAAGTCAAATACAGAGTTAAATACAACTTCTTTATGTATATCAAACTATTATAATACGTGTTTTAACTCTTCTCGATAAATTTCATGGTGAATATAGATTAAGAGAAATACGGTGCCTGTCGTAACGTCCACTTGTGTGACAACACAGCACGAGGTACACAAAGAAAATAGACAAAACGTTATTCTGGGAGAACATGTATAATGAATAGATTGACGATTTCGGTTAAGTTTACTTCCATTTCCATATGTAGATGTGCTCTTGCTGGTAAGTTTTGATGTTAATACATGCAGATTCTGTTTTCCTATTATAGCGTACAAAATAGTATCAAAAACGCAACAATTGACACTTCCTCCAATAAGGAGTCAAGTAACGATTTTGGACCCATTCGAAATAAAGGTAAATCATTCCCAGCTGATCGTTTTCCGGTGACGTATTTTTTCTCTATTTTTTTTACAACTTTTATGCACATCATTTTACCCCCAATATTATATTTAAGCCGCTTTAGACGATGAGGTGTATTGAAAGTACAAATCTTGTTTGCTTCTTGATGTCATTATGGTACAAAAATAAGGATAAGCTGTGAGTGGAATCTTATATATATATATATATGGTGGCGATAAATATGAGGTAATGATAAAAATTGTCTTACCCGCTAACGGTGGTACTGGTATACATGATATTCCCTGGAAAAATGATACCCATCCGAACGCATGAGACAGATGATCAATTCCTACAAAATCTACTATCACAATAGTTCTCATTCCTGTGAAAGTTCCTGGAAAACCAATTAATTTTAAACTTCTATATACTAATTTAGAAGTAACAATAATGTGTTAAGATCTCTAAGGCGATGATCATTTTAAAAATAATTTTAAACTTGTATATACTAATTTAGCAGAAGTAACAATAAATATATTATAGATATATAGAAAACCACATTTTGTAAAGAATAATATAATAAAACAAGGAACTGAAATTGACACTTCCCTATGGACAGACACATAACCAAGTGCCATGTACATGTACCAAATTACCCCAAGGTTAGATTGTCTATAGCAAAAAAAACCAAGGGTGACTGGGAAATAGAAATACAGCCATCATTAGTCTTCCTCCGACCGACAGTAAAACCCTCGCCAAAGTGGGGCGTCCGTTTGACTGTGCGGGATGTACAAGTTCGCAGCCACGTCCGGTCAGAATGGGAACGTTAAATCCGATGCCTCGCGTGGAAAGAGTGCCACGCTCCCTGCACGTTAAGAACCATTGTAACAACTTTTTGAGGGGGTCCGTAGGTCGCCTGTTGCAAGGCTAAATTTCTGCCGCTATCAAATATACCCTCATTTTCCCGTCGCAGTCCACATTTCCCCGACCTTTATCCCGGATGGCTTCTACTACAGCATCTACCTATTGTATTGATTGTTAACTTGTTCTCGTCCTGAACGTGCATGAAATATTTGCCACTGGACGTAAAGCAACCAACAATCTATAGCAAAACCGCTCCCCGTTTTTTTTTAAATCAGATACTAAGTCCTTTTGGATATAAAAATACACAGTTCCGTTCGATCTGTAAGGGTCACTAATTAGAACTTGAGTACGTATAGAGTTTTTTTGCATGTATCGAGAGCTATAACCTCAGACTATACCCCAAAAGAGACGTTCGGAAACTATATTCATAAGAGATCAGCTTTGTCTGCAGGAGTTGCAACTTTAGACTTTAGGGGAGAAGCAGCAAAATTTATCCGCTGAGAATTCATCAAAATATACGTACCACGCTAGTGGGTTCCTCTTGGTTACATCTCAGCGTTTTTCAGCATAAAGGGAGTTTTGTGTATATATATTTTTGATAATAATTGATAATTTACTCTCCAAATCATATAATTAGGAAATCAAGATTAAATTGGTATCAGATAGCGAAAATTTGATACCATCTCGTACTTACCTACACAGAATCCAGAAATTATTGAATATACTGCTATCTGCCAGAAACTTATACAGAAAGGAAGTAAAAATGTTCCTATAGTAACAACAACAAATGCTGTAAAATATAATGTTATACTCCTGATATGAAGAAAATCTATTATAAATCCTGTAAATATCCGTCCTAAGGTATTAGTTACTCCTATGAAGGACACCAGTAAGGCACTTTCTGTCCCAGGGATTCCTTTTGATGAAGCGAAATCCGGGATGTAAAGAGTACATATGTACTGAACTGAAACAAAGCGGAAAAAAACATATCAAATGGATTATTTGTCTATTCCAAGAACGGAACCAGTTGTACACTACTAAAGTCATAACTTTTTCATATTTTTATAACAAGTATATAAGATGAATATAAGAGAAATACAATTCTATCACGTTAAAATAACAATACTGTTGCAATAGTGAAGGTTCTCATACATGAACATATAAATCATTCCAGTCGTATGCATGTTTTTGAATGACACTTCAGATTTATTGTAAGTGTCCCTTACAAGAGATATAATTGTAAGACTCTGATAATGAATTTCAGGAGATTTGGGGTATAATTGAATGAGACAGCAACCCGAAATAATAAATCCAGTTAGTACGTATGGAGACCAAACATGTTAAGAAAATTCTAAATCCCCATTTAACAGTTAAACACACAGAAACAATGTATGAATGTTGTTTGATTAACGTCAAGTAGCAAATATTTTGAATAACAAAACAATAAATCCAATAGGTAGGCCTTGCAAAGTGAGTGGACCGTGATGTAGAGCGGGAAATCTGATTTGCCTATTGAAAACAAAGGCATATTGACACGGGCAGAAATTTTACCTTATAACAGGACACCTTAAGGAGTTGTTTGCAAGAGCTCCTCTTGAGCAGAGAGCGTGGTATTTTTCATGAAAAAGTGGATTAATGGTCCTTGTTCCGACCGGACGTGGCTTCGCGTTTCAACATCCCGCACACCAAAACAGATGCCTCTTTCTACCGGAAATACACATCATAGAAAACTAGACTGAGTGAGCAACAACACACCAGAAAAAAACAAAGGTGATCTCAGACACTCCGAAAGGTTTAGCCGATCTAGATCCTGCTTCACATGTGACAGCCGTCGTGTTACTCCTATTAAATACTAGTATGTTGATAAGTTATATCAAGTGATTAGGGATCACGCGATGGCGGAGAAGTAATTGACTCTCATCTACCCATAAGAGATCACCAAAATTCCTAAACCATCGGTCATGCCAATTTTATGTCAAAATGGTGGATTAAACCTGGTTTTATAGCTAGCTTAACCGCTAACTTGTATGACAGTCCCATATCAATTGTATTGACAACACTGTGTGAGCAAAACAAACAGACATAATAGGTAAACATGTCAAAATATTTGGTACAGCAGTCAATATTGTGTTATTATCTCAATCACTATGAAAACAAATACTGTAACTATTTCAATAAAGAAAAACAAAATGGCATATAGACATTCCATAAACAATTTACATCAGCAAAAATGAAAGACAAGAATACAAAAAATGATCATAGCACAATAGCACAAGTGCGGGATGTATTAATACCGAGCCACGCCAAAAGTATATTACCAAAAATGGACAGTAAAGGTTAAAAATATGCAAAGACAAATAAAAAGAACACTATTACACGTAATTAAGATTACAAACAACGTCAGTACCTAGAAATTATACATCAAGACCATCATGTATAAGTTGTGAAGTTGATACGGAATATTTATCAAGAAGGTCTTGGTATCTCCCGATGAACTTTTTTAGAAAAAGGACGAGACGTTCTTTGACATAACCCTGGTTCATCAACTTTCTGCTCAGACAGTGGTGACGTTTTACAAAGTCCGAGTAGCAGCTGCAAGCTCTTGAATACCGAATGATTAAGGAAATGTTTATCCCATATGCAGGTGAAGTTGGTATATTGCTGTTAAATTTGTTTTAATTAAAACACGTCATAAGGATAGACAAGTCTGCTACCGATACTAACAACATATTCATTAAAAAAAGAAAAAGCAGAAGTGCAGCACTATAAACTAAAGCAAGAGCAATACGAACCCATTTTAAACATTTTAAAGGAGAGCACCCTTAATTCAGAATCCTAGATCCCCCAGATATGTAGTATAGGTTAAGTGTACCTGACCAAAACACCATTGTAAGCAATACCACGATAAAAGAAGGCTGCTTCAAAACGTGAAAGTTATCTCCATAACGGGCCATATTTACACAACGAGAGTTTTCATTCTCTGGTTCAATAGATGATAGTTTCGATTCAGACTGTATTTGTTCGCATGAAATTTGCATGAAGCCACTACTGTATATATCGTTTTTAGATAAACCGCTAGGCAAAAATTTATCAGTAATTTTAACACAATCCATACTATTAGCTTTAGCAGCTAATTCTTCGTATTGAAGAACGTGGCTATTTATATGTTGTAAAGAATGGTAGTTTTTTTCAGATAAAAGCTTTCTTTTTTGTGAAAGGATTAATTTTTCACGTGTTTCTAATGACACCGTGGTATCGGTATTTTCTTCTTCGGGTTCCAAAATAGCAAGTGGTCTGAACATTGCACCACTTACAGCACAATTCAGGTAAATAGCTGCAACCAATAGAACAGTCCCTCGCCAGTCAAGCACTTGTAGAATGATTTCTGTAAAGAACGGATATGCGAACATTCCAAAACCAGCTCCGCTCATGGCTAATCCCGTTGCCATTGCGCGTCTGTTGTTAAAATATCTACCTACAGCAACGATTGCCGTCATAAATGTCACACCCATGCTTATTCCTGTAACAAAGTGAATTCATTAACTTACTGTTTTCATAACATTTATATTTATTATATCTAAAACTGAATGGATACATGTTATAGGACTGAAATGTTGCAATATTTAAACAAACATAGATCAATCGTTTAATTTTCCGTGTTCAGTGTACGGAAAATAAAATTTAAAAAAACCAGTGTAAACGCAAAACGGTAACAAAAATACAACATATAGCATTGAACGGTACCAATGTTACTACATCAGATGCGCGCTTCGACAATTAATGTATCTTCAGTGATGCTTAGGACATAATGTTTGGAAATACAAAATCTTGACGTAACCGAAAAGGGACCTAAAGTGTAGGTAAACTCGAACAAGAAATCGGGGCTTTGCATGAGGGAAATACATTCCTTGATTGCAAAAGTTTTGTCACCGCTAATCTCATCAGAAATATCATATATCTGAATGGATTTTTAGGTCAGTTTTGATTGAATATTATAAGCAATATACCTCCTAATATACCATACGCTATGATTAGAACAATAATATTTGGAGAGAATGCAGAGACCGTAAATGCGATGAATCCTATTACAGCACCGGTTATTGTAACTTGTCGTAAGGAAAATCTTTCCAGAAACATACTAACAATTGGTCCTGAAATAAAAACCACACATATACATAAGAAAACACAAATTTGGATAATCGATACGTTGAATCATTGAAAAAAAAACAATACATGAAGGATGAACTAGTTTGTTTTAGAATGAGTATATGTAGGTTTAGTGTTATACACACATGACACATGTATTTATATAATTTTTGTAGTTGTTCTAAATGCCCATGAAGTAGATTGCCTAGTTGAAACATCAAAATAGTTAGCTGGGTATTATTCCATAACCACAGTATATATAAAACAATCAAATTTCCCTTATGGGATTTTGGGTCCTCAATGCTCTTCAGCTTCGTACTTTATTTGACCTATTTAACTTTTTGATGCGAGCGTCACAGATGAGTCTTTTGTAGACGAAACGCGCATCTGGCGAACACAATTTTAATTTCTAGTATCTATGATGAGTTTATTCTCAATAGTCTCGAAACGTTAAAAGTTTATGTTACCGTGATTTCAAAATCAAGAAATCAATATTAAATAATAACAATTAATGGATAACCTATAAATAAACCGTTTCATTTATTGGATAATCATTAAAATACAAAAACAAACATACCTATGAGGTAACATACTCCAAATGACAGCGAAGCTACCCACGTAGTACTGGACTTCGATGCTTTAAATTCTTCTTGGATTGGTATAATTAGCACTCCAAATGCAGCAGTCGTTCCCTCCACTATAAATGCTACAATAAACGTCCCAAGGCAGACCACCCAGCCCCATCCCCCGTCAGGTCCAGTTACGTATTTTCTCATCCTGATATTTTGTCAGCTACTCATCCATGATAATATTTCCTGTTGAGTTTATATCGTCCTGAAATATTACAATTATTGATATAAATCCAATTGTTTAATTAGTTTGCCTCCCACGTGTTAACTGAATCATTTAAATTTCATTTAAGTGTGTGTGTGTGTGTGTGTGTGTGTGTGTGTACTGCACTATCTATCAAAGATCGTCCATCTGTTCAACAGTTTTGCATTATTGATTTGAACGTTTTAATACACAGTTTACCACGGTGTGTTTACATGTAATTGGTCTATTATGTAATCTTCTTTTATAAACCATAAGATATGTGTCGTGTAATGTAGACGGATGTAAATACAAAAATTTTCTGTAACAGGAACGTTTATTTAGTTGTATGACGATGCAAACTGAAAATACTAAAATTACATATTATAATAGAAATATAGCATTAATTTAGTCCTATAATTATACATGACTTCGCATTCTTATTCAATTTTAAAAGATTTTATGCTGATATTCTCAATTTTTATTTCTTGTTTTTTTTTCCAAATGCTCGGATGGCACATTGATAGCAAAAACTGCAAATAGAAAATAAAAATAACAAAGAGCAAAACTAGTAAAAAAAAATATCAAACATCTTAAAGGATAAATATGGAACATAAGCTATTTATACATTTTTCAAATGTAAAATTGAAGCAGTTTTGTTTGAGAATAATATGACGGTACATAGTATATATCACAAATCTCCTTATGCATTTAGAATAAATCGACAACTAAACATGAAATTACAATAATATTGGCTATGTAAATTAAAAAGCTCATTATAGACGAGTGACATTAACCATAAAATCATACTTTTAATGCACCCACCTAACATACGGCTAAATGATATACCATTCGAAAGAATATCATTTGCCCTATCTTTTTTGCCCGGTCGTCAAATATTCGTACGGTGCAATTTCCGTGAAATCACGATGAAAGGTCAAGGTCGCATACTTTCTAATTTTACAAGATGTCAGCATTTTTGGATACTCTGTCTTCTGAATAATAATGTTTTGTATGGAAATATGAAAATCTGTTAGAACAGATGTTAACAGTCACTTATCAAACGCACTTTAAAATATAAGTGACGGATTTTTAATAAATAGCGCCGTTTTCCAGAAATTCGAGTAAAAATGATAAAATTGCGTTGAAACCAACATTTTTGTCTGTTATTCATTTGTAATTCACCATAGAACCAAATAACATATTCTATTTAGTGCTGAGGAAGTTTTTGACATCATCAAATTACTACAATTACCTTTCATGATAATTAAACAGCCAACTATAACAACTCGACCAGTTGGCCAAAATACCACCATCTGCTAAAAAGATAGCTTTTTTGCTGTTCTATGTTAACAAAATTTGTATGTACCAATCTTTTAAAGCTGATTAATTTCTTGAAATACATGTAAATTGACACATACTGCAAATCTATTTTTTTATTTGAAAATTCTAGCAGTTCACTATAAGTACACTTTCAATTCCTGAGTACTATTAGTTAAAATATTACACTGCAGTGTAAAGATGAATTATTGATTGTTTAACTCCACTTTCGGCACTACTGGCTACTAAATCAAATTGAGAATGGAGTTGGGAATGTGTTAACGAGACACATCCCGACAAAAAAGCAGAAAACAGACCAAAGCCACCAATGGGTCTCCAAAACAGCGAAAAAATCATGTACCCGGAATCAGGATTCAGCTGGCCCCTGAACAAAAATGTGTACTAGTTTAGTGAAAACGGACGCCACACTAAACTCCGAAACATATAAATGAAGTAAAATTAAATATTAAGATTAACAAAGGCCAGAGGCTCCCGACTTAGGACAGGCGCAAAAATGCAGAGGGGTTAACATGTTTTGTGAGATCTCAACCATCCTCTTTACCTCTAGCAAATGAAGACTAAACAAACACACATCAATACGCACAGTAAAACTCAGTTAAAAAAAGTCCGAGTCTGATGTCAGAATAGGTAACTGATGAAATTAGCAAAATGACGGCGATACATAAATTAACAAAGGACTACAGCAGTATTACTGACATGCCAGCTCCAGACCTCATATATCTTCATCATAATTACACAGTATTTTGTGGCGATCAGTTTTTATTGGAGGCGGAAGCCGGAGTGCTCTGAGAGATCAACCGACCTTCAACGAAGGCTGACAATCCCCGTCAATTATACTTTAATTATATTTATCAGTATGAATGACGAAATTACTGTGTAGGTGTCACACAAAAATTCAACCAATCATCATCAATAGTCTTTTGTTAAAGTAGGCAACCTCTAATCAAACAAAGCAGTTTTGATGTAGATGTTGTAAATTACTACAACTTAATGTTGCAAGTAAATTTTCTTAATAAAAACTGATATATAAATATGCATTTAAACAAATTTTATTCTAAATTCAATTGCCTATGGTTTTGTATTTAAATCTAATTGTAACTGTACCACAGAATATTCTCATATAAGACATCAGAAAACAAGAGCGCCGTTTCATAGAAGTGATAGGTTTTGCTTGTTATAAAGTCAGGTTTAATGCACCATTTTATACGCAAGAAAATGTAGAATCAAGTCAGGAACATGGCAGTTGCTTTCCATTTCCGTTATATGAGATTGAGCTTTTAATTTTTGCCATTTTATAAAGGACTTTCAGTTCTGAATTTCCCTTGAAGTACGGTATTTTTGTCATTTTACTTTTTAGTAGATCATCTGTCATGCATTGCTTATACATTGGCATATATAAGAATGAGACAGTCTAAAACTAAAGTCATAATTTTTCGTGCATAGGTTTCATATCAATAATAAGTGATATTAGTTGACTTGAAAAAAAACATACCAAGTGGTATGCATTTATATATAAGTGTAAATAACATGGGTTAAAACAATCTGTTTAAAATTCAGATCTGTTGCAACTCACATGTTATCAAATGAGGAAAACGAAATCAGAGATCCATATAGTAATTAGATTGTGTGAAGGTAAGATTATGAGATGTAATGGTACATTTGATTTGCTTACTATTTAACTATTTCTTTATCATGAAAAACATCCCTTCATGTACAATCTCCATATGTGCACTTTAAAGACAAACCGACGTAGGGACGCAAGGTTTATATCTTACATCGATATCTGATCTAGCTGGTTTTCAATTAAAAAAAAAACAGACAACACAGGATCAAAGCAAAAAAGTCGGACAAACAAACTACACTCTTTAAAGCACTATACCCAAAATGTGCGAACACTACCTAATACTTGTGGTAAATGCATTTGCTCAGTAAGAATATATTCAATCTTCCACAATATTAATTTTCTGTCATATTTAGTAAAACAACTAATAACATATGTAATAATGAGCTATCATTTAAAAGAATCAGCCGGATTAGTGATTGAAAAGGCGCATTGTGTAAACAGTATTCGTTTGAATATTGATTGAGAATAAACTTCGTCTTTCGACATCGGAAATACATTTTTACTATATATACCTTGTTTATTCACTATTCAAATATGGTTAATCATTTTCTTCTGATATTTACTATATTATCCAGCCAAAGAAAAGCCAAAATGATCCATATTTGAAGATGGTGTTTTTATACGGCAACTGCAAAAGTTTCATTAGAATCTGCATCTAGACCTATATTATATTAAGTTTACAATGATGCAAAAATTCTCTCGGGCTATAAACGATAAATTAGTTATATTTTTGACATATAGATATTGATACCTGAAGAATTATTTAGCTTTTAGTGCAATTTTATCATTTTTGGAAGTTATTTTTAAGAAATGCAATTTTATGTAAATATTGCGCAATTAACATTTTAGTTTGCATTTGATTTAAAATTATGGTATTTTGTTTTATAAGGATCAGACAATGTTTAGATGAAAAATATCATACAGGTACCAGAAAAGGGCATTTTGTTAAGTTCTAGCAAAATTTTGAAATATTCATATTTTAACTTTAAATAAACTTGATTTAACGAAAATTGCACCGTACGAATTATTGACGACCGGGCAAAATAGAAAGTACAGGTAATAAGCTTTCGAATGATATACAATATAGCCGTATGTTAGGTGGGTGCATTAAAGTCGTTAACTAAGCGTCTTTTTGAAAACTGTCACTCGCCTATTAATCTAATATTTTGTTAGCTTATCTCTTAAATGGTCAGCAAAACAAAATGTGTGCGTATAGTAAAAAAACCCATCATTAATCAAGTTTGATAACGATCGGGTCAATTTTTGGACTATAACAAGAAAAATATTTCCCGAGTCCATTTATATACTGAAATTAAAAACAAAACCCCTGTCACTTCAAGGAATTTAATTAAAGAAAAATAAGATTAAATACATACACTTCCTGAAACACTCTTTAATTATACAAAAGAGGCGTGACCGTATCCGTCTAGGTTTTAAAACAAAGGAAATTACAATGATGTTTGTCGTGTTATTTAAAAAGTTCATTAATCAAATACTTTTTATCGTAAGATATTATCTGGTCGCTGAAAATTGGACGAATTTTGATTATATTTAAAAACAAAACAACATTATTATTGTTATTTGTTCATTTATGTATCATTGTCATTTTGCTTAGTTTCTTTTGTTACCTATTCTGACATCGGACTCGGACTTCTTTTGAACTGAGTTTTTACTGTGCGTATTTCTATGTGTTTCTTTATTCTACATTGGCTAGAGGTATAGGGGGAGGGTTGAGATCTCACAAAACATGTTTAATCCCGCCGCATTTTTGCGCCTGTCCCAAGTCAGGAGCCTCTAGCCTTTGTTAGTCTTGTATGTTTTTTTTAATTTTAGTTCATTTATATGTTTTGAGTTTAGTGTGACGTCCATTTTCACTGAACCAGTACACAATTTTATTTAGGGGCCAGCTGAGGATCACCTCCGGGTGCGGGATTTTCTCGCTGGGTTGAAGACCAATTGGTGGCCTTCGGCTGTTGTCTGTTCTTTGGTCAGGTTGATGTCTCTTTGACATATTCTCTATTTCCATTCTCAATTTTATTATATAATGTTTGTTTACAAC